AGACCTTCTGGAGATGTTCCTCTCATTGACTACGAGATCACCTCAAAATAGCTCAGATGTGAGATACAACCCCCAGATTAGACAAATCCAACCCCAAGTCCTTTCTGAGGGTGCTGTGGGTGCCTCCTGCAGTACCTTCAGTGTCCATCTCACACAGCACCTCAATGGGTGTCCCTCCCACCGAGGGCATGATGCTGTAGATCCCCGATCGCCGCAGCCCGTTGTAGTAGACAGAAGCGCAGTCGATGGGGCAGTTCCTGCCGTGCTTCACCTCTGGGAGGGAAAGCAGAGGAAAGGTGGTGTTTAGACACAGAAACAGTACAGGGTTTCCCAGGTTCTGATTCAATTATATCTCACGCCAAAAAAACGTCTTCTCCATCGATGAAGAACAGGTTGGTTCTCCAGCAATGGTCTTTAGAGATAATAGTGGAAGGTTTTTCTTCTCTCTAACTGCTGCTGGGGGTTTTGCCTTACAAGGGAAGGAGATCAAAATCATTCTGGACAATCTAAAGATCTATTTTTTTACTGGGATAAAGATTTTTTAAACTATGATATGGGGTAATGGTTTTAGACTGAAGGAAGGGAGGTTGAGATGAGATCTTAGGAAGAAATCCTTTGCTGTGAGGGTGGTGAGACCCTGGCCCAGGTTGCCCAGAGCAGCTGTGGCTGCCCCATCCCTGGCAGTGTTAAAGGGCAGGTTGGATGGGGCTTGGAGCAACCTGGTCCGGTGGGAGGTGTCCCGGCCCATGGCAGGGGGTTGAGACTAGATGATCCTTAAGGTCCCTTCCAACCCAAAACAGTCTGGGATTCTATATGTCAAGTGGGACTTCTTTGGCCTGGCACCAGCCATCTGTAGTTCAGACAAACAGTTCATCCTGGTTTTACATGGGAGAGGAGGAAAGAGCCACTCTCTCTGTCTCCCTCCATCACCTACCAAAGGAGCTCAGCTGACCTGATTGCACAGAGCTGCACAGTGACATCTGAGGTGTCCTCTGGCTGGCTTTCAGCTGTCCTGTGTAGATCCTGTCTTGTGTCTGCCAGACTTATACGGATGTCTTGGATACTCTAGCATACTTCAGATGGCACTGAACTGAGAAACTAGTCACAG